GAAAGGGTTGTTCGACCCCCCGAAGGGGTCGCGACCCACAGGTTGAGAACCGCTGCTCTAGACAGTCAGTAGTGTTCACATTGCCCAAAGTAGAATTAGGATGGCTGCCCCAGAAATTCAGAGGGAGAAACAGAGCAGGCTCAGTATTTTTTGTTTTGCTTTGGAAATTGGCTTTTGAGTATCAAAAGGGAAAGCCAGAGGGAAGCAGGAGTTGATGCCAAGATAATATCTTGGAAAGAGACTAGAGGAACAGCAAGACTGCCACCCTTCCCCCTACCTAGGGAACTGGCTGAGGGTCACCTGATCTGGGAGGTAGAAGAGAAGGGAAATGGGGCCCAACTTGTATAGTGGGGTTGAGGAGGAGGAAAAGGACAAGAAAAAGGGGCTGGGTCAGCTTTCAGAGGTGTCTGTGTCAATGGCTGCAGAGCCCCAGGTCGGCAGAGCCAATGTAGACACCACCCATTGCCCTTCCACCAGCGACCACTATTGAGCCAACTGTCCCCCTGGCTATATGTATCCACCTCTGCTGCAGAGTTCTGCTGAACCTCATCTCAGCTCCCTGGGCGGCTTCCTGCCCTTGGTATGTGAATGGCCCAGGACACTCCCCAAAATGGTAGTGGAATATACAGAAGGGGAGTCTTTGCCACCCAAGAGATTGTGATGTCATAAAAAAAGGCCTAGCCCCTGCTCTTGGAGGTACTAGGTAGATGGGTATACTGGAGGCCCGTGGTGTCCCACCCAGATCATTCTTGCCAGCCAGCGCACCCATCCCCTAACTGTGGAGTGTTGACTGATAACAGCTCACAACTGCCCCCTTCCCCCAAGGACTACTGTTGGCCAAATGGGAGCTGCTTGACCCAGAGGTTGCATGCTCCACCCCACTGCAGCAGTCTGCAGTCCGGGACTGGAACAGGGGTGTGATAGCCATTTCCTTGCCACAAAGAAGGTCCAACTGTGGTGCCCTTCATGCTCCAGACCCTGGTGAGGTCGGGGGTAGGGAATCATGCTGGATTCCTGCTGAGAGCACATTTTTGTTTTGTTTTGTTAATTCTCACTTGATGGTATTTTCTCCATTGATTTCTAGAGAGAGTGAAGGGAGGGAGACACAGAGACACATCGATTGGTTGCTTCCCACACATGCCTTGACCAGGGCCAGGGATTGAGCCTGCAACCGAGGTACGTGCTTTTGATGGGACTCGAACCTGGGACCCTGCAGTCCATGGGCCGACGCTCCAACCACTGAGCCAAACCAGCTAGGGCTGAGAGCACATTCTTGCTTCGCTCTTTCCCCTGCCTTACCCTGCCTCTCTCACCCCTTTTCTTCCAGAGAGCACACGAATTCCCATTTCAGGTCCTGCATTCAAGGAATCCCAGCTAATGGAATGGGATTATGGCAAGTGCCGAAGAAATGGGGGAGCTAATGGCAATGGAGTCCCCTCATACTGCACTGTTGAGGGAAGAAGAAACCTTGCTGGGGCTCTTTCTTCTGCTTTGGCAGCCCCCCACTCCCCTCCCCCAACCCCACACGTGCATGTGCACACACGCCTCCCTCTGCTACTGAACTGCACACACACACACACACACACACACACCCCAAGGAAGGGGTTTGGAGGAATTCTTTGAGCTTTGAGGCTTGATTAGGGGGGTTTGATTTTCAGGTGCGATCAAGAGGTGATGCTTTAGCCTTACTCAACAGGAGCAGAGCGATGTCCAGTGGTCTCTCGGTACCTGCTCCTGGCCTGGCTTGACCCCGGGGACCCTGTAGGACCCCGTGCTGTGGAAACCGCAGCGGGGACACCATTGACAGGTCTGCCAGGTTTGGGCCTGCTCAGCAGCCGCTCCACCACATTCCACCCGGCAGCCATAGTTTGTCTTGGCAAGGTGGCCCTCCGGGCCCCGCTCCAAGAAGGGCCCAGGAGCAGCCCAGACAAACCAGCTTTCACCACAGAAGCCAACACTGGCTGGGCTTGACTTGGTGCCAGCCCAAAAGTGGTCGGACCCTACCCCCGCCCCTAAAAGTGGACTCATGCTCTGGGAGAGTGGTGAGGGGGAGGATGAATGGAGGGGAGCCAGGCCCCAGGTGGGTGAAAGCCAAGAAAGGAAACAGAAGCAGGGACCCAGGCCAGAGGGCTTTCCTGATGACACTCCATCCCGAGACAGGCCATCAGGAACTGGACCCACAGGGTGGCTGCCCAGCTCTGGAGTGGCCCTTGGCCACAGTGCCAGATAGACAGCCCTTTCAACCCTGCCATGGGGAGACCTCCCCACCTCTCCTCTCCCAGCAGCTCACAGCTTCCCCGACTCAGCCAAGGAGCCCTGGCAGCCTAGCCTGAGAGGCCCACGCACAGCCAAGGGCGCATCAGGAGCAGCGTTCATTCCCAGGCAGGCGATGGAAGGAAGGGCTTTGGAGAACCAAGATGCCAGGGTGCTGGGCCCCAAGGAGCAGCAGACCTGTTACTTTACAGCATTTTTCCTTCCCCCTTTAAACACTTGGCTCCTTTTCTCTCAGGGAATAAAATAAAAATGTACTTGTTTCTGTTACTGTCCTGCTGGAAAGCCTCTTCTACATCTTTAGAGCCATGAAGTCTCTTCTGTTCTGCTGCCAGTGGAAGGGGAGAGAGGGTCTGTGGACTCAGAATCCTCCCACTTATTCTCATTGGCAGCTCTAAACCCAGAAGCTCCAAGGCTGAGGCAAGGCGGGGAGGTTTGCACACCTTCTCCTTTGGAGAGTGGAAGCAGGGGCTGCTGGACAGACTACCCATGAGTGCTATTCTGGAACTCCAATAGGGGGACCCAGAGCTATGAGTCCAGCTGGGAAGAGGCAGGTTATGGAGGTAGAATGACTTAGTGAGAGATTAACATGTGTTTGTTCTTAAGTTTTCCCCCCCTACTTCAAAAAGTTAGCTGAAGACGGCATGGCAGGGTGAAGGACTGAGATGGTCTGTAGATCTCTACATTTTGTTTCCCAAAAGCCTAGCTTCTTGTGGGGAAGAAAAGAGCCAATAGGTGCCTTCTGAGAGAGTAGTGCAAAGACAGAGAGAAAGAGGGGCATTGGGAGTGGGGTAAAAAATAGACTGGAGTTTACCATTAAAACATGTAATTAGACAGTTGATGCAATGGCTTAACATTAGACACATAATGAGTGTAATTCAGCACATTAACAAAATATTGGAGAAAGTCACACAATTATCTCAATACATGCAGAAGAAAAGTTCATAAAATTTGCATCTATTCATAATTTTAAAAATTTTAAATAAAATTAAGAATAGCCCTGGCTGGTTTGGCTCAGTGGATAGAGCATCGGCCTGCGGACTGAAGCATTCCAGGTCAATTCCGGTCAAGGGCACAGGCACAGGTTACAGGCTCGATCCCCAGTAGGGGGCGTGCAGGAGGCAGCTGATCAATGATTCTCTCTCATCGATGTTTCCATCTCTCTATCCCTCTCCCTTCCTCTCTCTCTCTAAAAAATCATTAAAAAGATATTTTTAAAAACTTACTAATTTAACATCTATAATAAAAAAGCATAATATGCTAATTAGACCAGATGTCCTTCCAGACAACCTTCCAGACGAAACTTGGGCTATAGCCGTGGGATCAAGGAAGCCACCACAACTGCGAGGGAGGGATCCAAGCAGCCGCCATGGCTGCAAAGGCCTACTCTTGCATGAATTTCGTGCATCGGGCCTCTAGTCTAGAATAATAAAAGTGTAATATGCTAATTGGACTGGACGTCCTTCTGGACGTCCTTTCTTCCAGACAAAGCCACAGTGGGCAGGGGCCACGGCAGTGGTGGGCAGGGGCCGGGGCCAAGGCCCCGTGCACAAATTTCATGCATCGGGTCTCTAGTAATTATATTAGTGTGGTATTGGTATAAAGATAGACAAAAAGATCAATGGATCAGAATAGGGAATCCAGAACAAGCCCATGCATTTATGGGTACTTGTTTTATGATAAAATTGCCACTGTGAGGTAGAGGTTAAGTTTAATTTTTTTCATTTGAATATCCAATTGACCCAATGCCATTGATTAAAAAACCATCCTTTCCCCATTTGCATGGCAGTTTCCATTTTGCTGGGAGACTTTTGTTTTTGGAAGAGGCTAAGGGGCCCACCGATATGGGTGGGATGGGGAGAAAGATGTTTTGCAGAATAGTCAGCAGTAGGGCTGGTCTCAGCTGCTACCTGGCTTCCCTTGAATCACTGAGTCCAGTCCCCAGTGGGTCCTGTCTGAGCAAAATGCAGCTTCAGAGGCTATCTGATCCCCTGGTAGGATGCAGAACACAGCAGCCTCATTTTTCTGGGAAACATATGGGAAGAAAGCGGAGGATTTCTGGGAGATGTTGTCTCTCTGAAGATCGAGTAACCAACTGTCTTATCTTTATCCTGATTGGCCCTGTGGGTGGGCTGATGCTGAGAAGGGGCTTTGTCACCTGGCATTTAGAAACAACCTGGGCAGTTTCTGTCACGTGGTCTCAGGAGAATTGGGACGTGCAAATAAAGGAAAAGGAAAATTCACGCCCGCTCTGAACTTATTTCAAGTACAAAAATCAACTTCCTTTTCCCCAGGTTGACACCCCGGGATTATCTCCACGGTAGACACTTTTGTGTCCTACCCACATCTCCTCATCTTTATCTCTTCAGTGCACACCTGTCTGACTCCATCTGCCAACACCTGCATCTTTTTGCCTGAAGATTTTCTCTAGCTTTTGGGACCTGTTTTACCACCCATGGGCTGACTGGAAGTGCCAGGAAGGTAATGCTCCCCTTCCCCACAGAAGCCCCCACCCACTGACTGATGGAAGTTGGTGTATAAATACTCCAGCTCCCTTGCTCCTCAGGTGGAAAAACTCTGAGGTGTGTTCTACACTGTCTACCCCAGTTCTCTAGCAGGAAGCTTGTCTCAGATTCTGCTTCTAGGGGAACCCAATCTAAGACATGTGAAAAAGAAAATTATATTAGTCACTTTAGGCTACCATAACAAAATGCCATAGACGAGGTGGCTGAAACAATAGAAATTTATTTTCTCATTGTTCTGGAAACTACAAGTACGAGCGATCAAGGTGCCAGCTGATTTGGTTCCTGGTGAGGACTCTCTTCCTGGCTTGTAGACAGTCTCACCTTCTCACCGTGTCCTCATATAGTAAAGAGAGAGCTCTGGGGTCTCTTCTTACAAGGACACCGATTCTATCAGACGAGGGCACGACTCTCATGACCTTATTTAACCTTAATCACCTCCTTAAAGGCCCTATCTCTAAATATAGTCATATGGGGGGAAAGGGTTAGGGCTTGAATGTATGAATTTGGGGAGGACACAATTCAGTCCATCAAACTGATAGCAAACATAATTGATTAGCTCTGCCTACTCTGGACCAGGGAGTGGGCAGTGCCGACTCAAATGGTGGCCTGAGCACAGTTGAGAGATTTTTGAAGACAGATATCACATCTCATTCCTATCATCCATGGCATCTGACCCATCTCAGGAACCAGAATATGACCATTGTCCGGCTACCATCTGCATCCAGTCCAGTGGACTGCAGTGGAGAGCCCCAGGCAGTGGAAACTGCTCAGAGTCTGAATGGAGCAGGCTGTGGCATGGTAGCCTTCAGGGCTCTGCAACATAGGCTGGAAACAGGAACTGAGGGGGAGACCAGGCAAGCACTATAAATAGGGGAAGGTGACCAGAAGGCTACCTGTTATGGTCCCAGATGTTGGCCAGGATCACATGAGAAGGAAGTAGCAGGACCAGCCCATCTTCCTTGGCAAGTGTCTTTGCCCAGAGGGCTGTAGGGCATGGGCACATGGGTTGGGGAAGAATAGGATTTCCCCCGGTCAGAGCAAAAGAGTGCCACCAGCCTGGACACTGGGATCCCTGGACAATGAGTCAAAAAATGGCTCCCCAGGTCCGAGGTCTCAGGCACATGTCTCAGGGGAACAACAGGGATTCATTCATCCTGGAGAGGGGGTAAATGAGTTCAGGAATCTTGCATCTTTACTATCCTTCCTCCAAAACTCTGAGACAGGAAAGCCAGAAAGTGTTTAGGCCTGGGGTCAGACCTCGCTCAGATAGCAACTTTGGGAGCCAAAAGCCACCCCACCCAGCCCAAGTGAGGCCCTGCAGCCTCTAGCCAGGAGGGATCTTACTTCTGGGCCTGTGTACACCTAGGTAATGTTTAATTTGCTATGTTCTGGTCCCCAGCAACCCCTACCCTGGGGGATGACAATCCCTACTTTGGTCCTGCCAGACAGCTATGGGATGGAGCCCTCAGTGGCCAGAATGTGCTCCCAGCCAAAGATCTCAGGGCTCAGCCCATGTCCTGGGTCCTCAGGCCTGTACGCCTTCTCCCCACACCCCGACACAGTACCTGAAAGCAGACCTGGGTAGGGAATAGTTGCTCAGTTGAACTCTGGGGCTGTTGAAAAAGCCCAACGTGCAAGAACGCTGCCAGGGGCATGTTTTAGACGGGCTTCATGAGAAGCCTAGAAAAGCAGACCCACGCCAAGGAAGCAGGCAGGAGAGGCTGGGTGGCCACCCGCATCTGTGTTTATTGTTCTGTTTTCTCCAACCCCAACAGAGCAGAGTGTGAGTCCAGGGGCAGCTGGGCCTGTTCCATGGTTCTATGGGACCAGCAGAGTCATGTGTGTGTGGGTCAGAGTCCATGGGACATCTATTGGGAGGAAGACCCATAATTCAGGGGCCTAGCACCCCCTCTTCTGCACTGCCATGCCTGAAGCCCCCACTGGGATTCATGATGTGGCAAGCGTGAGAGTGCAGGCTGCGATGGGAGTGGGGCAGCCATGGGGCCAAGCGGCCATCGGAAGCTCCATGGGAGCCTGGGCAAGCCTTCTGAGGCTGCTGAACATTTCCCTTGCCCTAAAGAGAAGTGGGCGCTGGCCCAGCAGATGGGCCAGACACAAATGGGATCTTCCCAGGCCACCTCTCCCTGAGCTATCCTCTTTCCCACAGTCCACTTCCTGTGCTCCTGTCACCTGATGCCTCAGGTCTGCACAAAGTCCATCTCTTCCACAGGAACCGGTCCAGAGTGTGAAGTCCTACATCCCAGCACCTCCCTGGGATGCTCTCCTGCCAAAAGCATCAGCACAGTGCTGGGGCTTCGACCAGCCCCAAGAAAGGGAGGTGAAAGAAGCCTGTGGAGGGCCGGGAGCATGGGGAGGAAGTCCTCTCCCCATTCAGGCCCATGGGTTGAGGTCTGTCCACAGCCCTGGCCCTGCCTCTGTCTGTGCTGCCATCCAGGGCATGGGTGTGAATCCTGGTGGGACCTCCAGTCCGGGCCAGCAGGGGCCAGACCTGCAGACCTGGTTGGGAGATGGAGAGAAGGTCTTGAATGAAGGCTGGCTGCAGGGGACAGGAAGCCACTTCTTGACACTTGTTCAGTATGGGCCACTGCACGGGCTCCGTGGCCCTGACAGTTGTCTAGATGGGCCCTGGAGAGGAAGACCTGGACCCCCGCTCCCCATACATGCTAAGGTCTTTTGGAGAGATAGCCCATCTAAGGCCGGGAAAGGACTTACCGTAATTAGGAGTACGCCAGGCCCTGAAGCCCCCGGGCTGGAGAGTGGAACTTCTCAGAATCCTCAAAAGGCTGGTCTGTAGTAACCAAGGGGAGGGGCTATGAGCCATGTGTGGCCTGGGGAGCTTATCTGTCTGTCCTCTCTGGGCTGGGGACAGTATAAAGGGCTGAGTACAGTGCTATCAAGAGTCTTGGAGGTAGTTAGCCAGCCCTAGCTCTGGTCTGGAACCAGCATTGCAGAGAGTTGGGCGAGGCGTGCCAGAGGGCCTGGCTCGAGGTGAGGAAGCAGATGGCCAGGTACCAGGACAGAAAAGAAAAGAGGTCAGCCTCCAGGAGCACTGAGAGCCAGTGCAGTGGCAGCAGCAGCGTGGCTTCCTCCCCTATCTCCATGACATTCATCACTCCCATCACCCTTGCCCCTGCCTACCCCCTCCCATGATTGGAATTGATGTCCTTCACATTTTAAACTGTCTTGGGTTAAAAAAAAAAAACAAGGCAAAAAAGGATTGCCCTTTCAAATCATCCTAGAGCATTATCTAACAAGCCCATCCTAACAGTCATCTTCTAGGGGATGTGATTTCTTTTGACTCGCTATACACTATTGGTTAGGGCTCAGGCTGTTAAATTGGATGTTGAGTTGGAGGAGGCTGATAAATGAAGTGGCAAATGACAACCATTTCACAATTGGGATGTGGAGGGATGATGTGGTCTCAATTTCTTATCTGGAAAATGGGGGAGAGGAAGCTGGGCTAAACTTTGTCCAAGGCCAGCCCCCTTCCATCAGCAAGTGACCCAGTCCCTCACAGTGGTGTGTGCTACCCTCCAGTGGACACACAGGTAAAAAGCACGCAGTCCACGTGGGGTTCCTCCAGCTGAGTATTAGGTCTCTGCCCTGGGTTCAACTGGATGGGGGTGGGGCCTTGGGATGGTTTTCAGACCTTCTCCAACTGGAATTTGAGTCCCCTTTCCCTTGGTCAAGTGGCCAGTTGATAGCATCAGGAGTGGTGACCATCCCAAGCTATGAGGACAGGGAAATGGGGTCCCCTTGGACTCCTACAAAGCTCTTTGCTCTGTACCCTACAGGGAGAACTGGTCAAGTGGCATGAGGCTCTGGTGAGACGTGGATGGTATGGGCCCCTCAAGCCCAGCTGCTCCACCAGGCCACACTGGGGCAGAATGAACCACTCACTCACCTGGAAGCCCCTCTCCGTGGGCTCTGGGGCAGGCCTGGGTTGGGGAGCTTGGTGGGCGCAGCACGGGGGCAAAGGCGCTCCTCTGTTTGACAGCGGAGATCATGTTGACAGGTGAGAAGGAGAAGACGCTGGTGGTGGGGGCAGCCGCCGGGAGAGACATGGAGGAGGCAGCAGCCAGCGGGGGGCTAGAGGGCATGACTCCGGGGCGGGGCGGGCAGGGGCAGGTGCAGCAGGGAAGGCAGTGGGAGACACAACAGGGAGACAGCACCATAGTGAGCAGCGTGGGCTGCTGACCCCAGGCCCAGACCTCACTCGGGGTTGTGAAGGTCCTGGGGGGACCCATACAGGGCAGGGTCTGGAGGCAGGCTGGGAGCCTCTGAGGTCCTGGGCCAACACTTGCCTTTTGGGGGGCTCTGGAGACCCTTTCTTGGGGCTGGAGGTAACAGAGTCAGACTAGGTAAAAACAAGCAAAACCAGAATATCCAACAAAATCAAATACTGGGAGGTGGCCCCAAAGATGAGAGATGAGCAAGAGATAGAACAGCCTAGGATTCCTGCTGAAAACCACTGGAAGTCTGAGAAGCTGAAAAATATTTATGGGACCTAGAGTACCAAAGTTCTCAGAGTCAAAGATTGGGGTTCATAGTGGAGCTGGGGCAAATGGTCAGGGGTAAAGTTTGGGGGTAGAAGGCTCCTGTTACAAGGCTCTCTGTCCAGGGCCAGAGCTCACACAACAAGCACTTGAACTTCCTCCACAAATATGCTCCCCTTATCAATCACCTCTCACTCTGGGTATTTTGTTTTCTCCCAGTTTAATGTAGGTCCTTGTCATCTCCAGCCCAGGTCCTACATCACCCTCTTCCAGCTGGTCAATTTTAAAGAAAGCATAGGGCCAGACTGGCGTGACTCAGTGGTTGAGCATCGGCTTATGAACCAAGAGGTCATGGTTCGGTTCCGGTCAGGGCAGCACGTGTCTGGGTTGTAGGCTCCATACCCAGTAGGGGGCGTGTAGGAGGCAGCCAAGCAATGGTTCTCATCATCGATGTTGCTGTCTCTCTCCCTTCCTCTCTGAAATCAATCAAATAAATAAATTTATATATATATATTTTAAATCCTCACCGAGGATATTTTTCCTTTGATATTTAGAGAGAGTGGAAGAGGTAAAGAGAGAGAAATATCAATGTGAGAGAAACACATTGATTGGTTGCCTCCTGCACATGCCCCGACCAGGGCCCAGGCCAGCGGGGAGCCTGCAAACCAAGGTACATGCCCTTGACTGGAATCAAACCCGGGACCCTTTGGTCCACAGGCTGATGCTCTATCCACTGAGCCAAACCAGCTAGGGCTAAAAATATATTTAAAAATAAATAAATAAAGTGTAGGGATCACATCCTCAGATTTTCCTGTCCTCCAACCCCCTAGTCACCCGGAGCTGTGGCTTGCAGCCCTGCATAGAGGCTTTGTCTGTCCCTCCTCCCTACAGCCTCCTCTCCTGGGGGCTCCTGCCCACTGTATCTCTGGACTCCTCTTTCCATATCTTCATCTGAACCCAGTTCCCTGCCTTTCCTAAAGACCAATCCAGCTGTGATTTCAGTGTTGTCTGAGCAGCGGGCTATGGGGTGGGGCAGAGGCTTTCTGGAAGAAACCAAGAGCCTGAGAAGGCTAGCTGCCTTTGGCATCAAAGCACCCCTCCTCCTCCCATTGATTTATTGCTGCCCTTGTCCCAAATGTCCTCAGGCCATGAATGGTCATCTCCTTTAAGACAATGCTCACTGCTAGCTGACCAGGCCATGAGCTCCACATGAGCTCCACGGAGGGCTTGAAACAAATGTACTCTATCTCTCAAGGCCAGGGGCTCACAGCCACATTTTGCAGTTTGAGTAGGATGGGAGTTGTGGGTCAGTCCAGGGCTGCTGGTGGCCAAAGTAAAGACCAAGGGGCAGTCCACACAGATAGCCCAGACCCACTGGCTGGGACAGTTCTGGATGTCATTCCAGGCACATCCTAGCACTCAATGAAAATGACAGTCCCTGAAGCTATACCACAATGTCCTCTGCACATGAGGAGTGGATGGGGACCTGGGTCAGCACTACAATATTACGAGATGGGACTGGCACTGGGGCGAGGCCAGGGTGTCCCCAGCTGATGTTGGAAGTGGGGTATAAGCAGCTCTAGAATTCTCGATCCTCTGGCTGAATGGGGAGATCCCAGGTGGCCTGGCTTCTGCCCACTGGATCAGTGAGTTCCTCCACTGCTGATGGCACTGTGTTATAGTGGAGGAGGGAGGTTGGTGCTCCAGACTCCAGCAGCTCCAAATCCGAGGGGCACCCAGAGAGAGGTTTGAGAGTGCTTTCCTAGAACTGAAGGGAAGTAAGAGCAGTGGAGCCTGGCCTGAGAAAATGGCCAGGAGAGACAGAGGCTTCCGGAGGGATATCGCCTGTGTGGATGCTGGAATATGGGGCTTAGGGTTCCAGAAGTTGAGCCTGGGAAGGGAGTAGAGTGCCAGACTCAAATCCACAGTCAGAAAGAGCAGTACCCAGGGTGCAGGCCACTGGCAAGGAAGGCTAGGCAGGTGGCCAGAGACTTTGATCCTCAGCAATAGCAAACATAAGATGGGGGGCAGGAGGTGAGGAAACCACAGGAAAAGCCACGACCAGCTTCTTGCACAGCCTTCCTCATTCCTCTGGCTCAGCAGCGTCCCCCTAGACTTGAGGTACAATCTCTCTTACAATTGATAGGGAGGTGCTTTGCAGCACACAGTGGGTGCTTTATAAATGTCAGCTTAATAGCTAAGTTAAAGGGTGTCCCAAAATTCACGCAAGAAGTAATTTTGATAGAAAACACAGGTTTATAATTTAAAATTGCAAATTTTTTATTGATTCATAAAGTATACAGTATAGGGTTATGTATGGAATAGCATTTCGGGTAAATGGCCTCCACGGCTTTGCTGGCACATACGCACTCTTTTATTGAAATTTTCCATGACCGAAATGCGGCTGCTCAGGCAATAACAGTTAGTGGTGCTCACTATCGTGACATGATAATCCAGTTTTTTGTGCCGTGGAGGCCATTTACCCGATATGCTATTCCATACATAACCCTATCCTGTATACTTTATGAATCAATAAAATAAAAATTTAGAATTTTTAATTATAAACCTGTGTTTACTATCAAAATTACTTCTTGCGTAAATTTTGGGACACCCTTATAAGAAGCTGAAAACAGGCTGCCCTGGAACTTGGTGTTGAAAAGAGGGACTTGAGGGCAGTGCAAACAGTAAAAGCCTAAATGTCCTGTTGCCCATCGACCTACCTTTGAAATGCTCCACCCCAAGAAGCCAGACAGAGAATGATTAGTGCCCTGAGGACAACCCTCGGCAGGGGGTGACAATGATCCCATTTTACAGCAAAGAAACTGACGTTCAAAGTAAATAACTAGCTGAATGTCAGGCAGCTCCTGATTTGGACACTCAAACGTTGAATCCCGCCGTCTGACCACACAGAATTCGCTCGCTCTGCGTGACCCCATCGCAGGGAGCCACGTCTCCCCTGCCTCTCAGACCAACGCTCCAGGGGAGCATGGGGCCAGGTGGAAACCCCCTTTTCTTGATCCCCGAGTTCCCTCAGGCTTCCGGCAGGGGGCGCCATGCTCCTCCCGAAGTTCTGGTTTAAGACCAAAAGGTGGCGGTCCGCCAGGTTCAGAGGGACGCTCCCTAGTTAAAAGCCCTTTTTAAAGGGACGGGAAGGCTAGAAGCGATGAAGTCAGCAAAGAGAGCTAACAGTGCAAGAACTGTCCCGGCCCCAGGGCCCGGGATGTGAAGCAGAGGGGTGGAGTTGAGGGGCGGGAGCCCAACGAGAGAGAGAGAGAGAGAGAGAGAGAGAGAGAGAGAGAGAGAGAGAGAGAGAGAGAAATCGCACGCCGAGGGCTGGCCTGGCTCCCAATGTCAAGGCCAGTGTCGATGCTCAAGGGACAGGCGCCGGAAGCCTCCCCCCCCCCCCGCCCCAAGGGCTAGGAGGCGCAGGGCTGAGCCCCACGCTGCTCCCGGGGGTCCCGGTCCCTCCCTCCGCGGGCAGGGGACACTCACTGGTGAAGGGCGAGGTGGCCGTGGAGCCATTGAGGAAGCTCGGGGAGCCGGGCACGCCGAGGCCAGCCACTCCCGGCGCCCCGTAGCCGCCGAGGCCGGCTCCGAGGCCGCCGCCGTAGCTGCTCTGCTGCGAGCCGGGGCTGGGCGCGAACCCGCGGGGGGACGCGCTGCTGCAGCTGCGCGCGTAGCCTGCGGGAGAGCGGCGGTCAGGGGTGCAGCGCCGCCGGGAAGGGGGCGTCCGCGCGCTGGGGACTGCGGGACGCACCCGGCTCCGGGCCCGGCGTGGCTTCCCCGACGGCGATGGCCAGCGGGCTGCTGAAGGCGTTGATGCCCACGACGGCGGGGTGGGGGTGGCTGGGGGCCAGCGGCCCCAGGGGCGCGGGCGCTCGGGGGGTGCTGTACAGGGCCTCGGCCACGTCCGCCGCGCGCTTCAGGAGGAGCTCCTGCGAAGACAGGAGCAGGGCAGGCCGGGCAGCCGGGGCGCCGGGGCGCAGGCAGCGCGCGCGGGGCGGCGGCGGGAGCGCCCTACCTGGTTACTGCTGGGCACTCCGTACAGGGCCTCCGCCAAGTCGGCCGCCCGCTTCAACAGCACCTCCTGGGGACAGGGGAGGAGACAGCGGGACCAAGGAGCAGTCCCTGGGGGCGACGGAGGGGCCTGGAGCCCCGACTCCCGCCTCGGCCACAGGACACCCTCACCCCCGCCCCGCCCCTCCGAGTACCTTGGGCAGCCTCTCGGGATCGCCGGGGTGTCTGGGAATGACTTTCTGTAGCCGCTGGAACCCGTAGTCAATGGTGGGTTCGTTCAGGGCTGGGGAGAGCGGCAGCGAGTGGAGGACGCCCCCTCCCAGCGCCCGGCGCAGCAGAGCCGCCACGCAGCCCCACCCCAACCTCTCGGAAAATCCCGGGTCGGTGATCTTAGACGTTTCTTGAGTTCCTCTCTTATTACAAAAAAGGAAACTGTATATACATGTTAGCTTCTGCAGGACTGGAGGGAAAGTTTTTTTTTTTATCATCTGCATTTGGTCTTATCAGGAGTAAATTATTTGCCATAAAAAAGAAACCCCTCAACCGTCTCCACTTATCACAGCTCAGGTGCACTCTCAGCAGCACTCACCCCAACCTAACGCACCAGCGGAAGCCTTACCTTCCTTCACCTTCGGCGTCAGATTTAGAGAATTTCCTTTCGTTTACCCCAAAGTGCAGAATACTCACTCCGGGTCCTTGCACTTGCATGCCTTCTCCCTTCTCCCTGGATGCCTACCCGCCCCCCCCCCCCCCCACACACACACACTCTGCAGGAGGAATCCCTTGGCTGACATCCCCTCCGCGTGTATCTCCAGCCCCCAGCCAGGCTGGCACTCCCTGTCAGTAAGTAGGGTCACTGCCCAGTGGGGGGAGCCCCACGAAGGGCTCCGTGAATATCTGTTGGATGGGGGTGGGGTGAGGGTGGAGAAGTGCGCGGCTTGGGCTTAGGTGGGAATTTCTGGCCAGTGGCCAAATAGAGCCGGGATGGAGGCTTCTACCCCGCATATCCAGGGAGTGGCTTTCACTCGGGTCGTGTGTGTGTGTGTGTGTGTGTGTGTACACGCATGCAGAGTGAGGCTTGGAGGAACCAAGACAACCCAGGGAGGATTCAGAGAGCAGCGAGCCTATTGGGGGCACCTTAGAAATAAACATTCCCGTGGAGATGTTAGTCTACTCTAGACCCTGAGGAGTGGGGTGCTCTGGACACCCTGGCGAGAAGGCCCGAGGCAGAGAGAAGGCGGAGGAGGGCTGGGACTCGGCGCCTGGGAGGGGAATGAGGAGCCCGAGGCCAGGGAGAGGGAGAAGCGAAAGGACAGAACGCAGCGCGAGGTGCATAGGGAGGAAAGCAGCCGCCAGGGGGCGAGACCACAGGTAGATTTGACTAACCCCGAGGCCAGGGCTCCAGAACGGTACCGAGGACCGGGCTCCTTCCCGGGACTCCTCACCTGTGTAGACAAAGCGGCCGGGGGCTCCCTTGCAAAATTGCTTGGACTTGTAGGACAGGGTCACCTCCACCACCCCGGGGATGTGCCGCGGGGGCGTCTGCACCCGAATGGCGTGGGGCGTGATGAGCTGCGAGGGGAGAGAGGAGGCCTTCGGGTGAAGCCCCCGGGAGAGAAAGGCCCAGCCCCGAGCCCGGAGGGAGTCTGACCGGGGCGGGGAGGGGGGTGGCCCACCTCACTCCACACGAGCACGTTCCCGAACACGACCTGCAAGCCGTCGAAGAAGTTGTCGCCGATGACAATGACGGTGGCGCCGCCCGTGGTCCAGCCCTCCCCCGGGCTGATGGCCTTTATGCAGGGGGTGGCAGCTGGGAGGCGGGAGAGGAGCCAGGTCAGGGGCTGGCCCCAGGGTGGGGACGCGAGGCTGGCCGGGCCTGCGGCCGCGGGGGCTGAACCGGGGGTCCTGACCTTCGGAGGGGTCCAGGCGGCGCGCCCTGCGGCCATGCTTGGAGTTGTTGTGCACAAACATGTTGTCAGACACGGCCAGCACGTGTCCGTCCACGCTCACGGTCGTGGACACCACCACCTGCGGGGAGAGCCGAGGCCAGCCTGGCTGGAGCCCTGGGGACGGGGGAGGCTCCCAGGAGGAAACTTGTGGGGCGCCAGCACCTGGAGGCTGGCGGCTGGATGCTGGAATTCAGGGTCAAGGACAGGGGGAAAGCTTCAGCCCCGCAGGGCTGTGGAAGGGAGCCAGCTGGGTCAGGTGACATTCCCAGAAGCCCAGTCTCTGACTGCCCAGGGCAACTGACCCCGGGGCTAGAAAAGTCAAGAGCTCTGGGGGAGACTGTCTCCCCGGGTGGAGTGGCTACGGTTTCCGCAGACACACAGTAGCCCAGGCTCTGTTCCTGGGGCTCCAGGGCAGGAATGGGTCTTAGGCAAGTGAAGTGAGAGTTTTGATGAGGGGGTCAGCATCAGCTTGAGAGCCCACCAGCAGGAGCCCCCACCCTTGGGAGGAAATTGGGGCTGCCTTCTTCCCCCCTCCTTCCCTGGGACGGGTGTGCAGGTTGGGGATGTGCTAAGGGCAGCTGCTCGCTGCTTCACGCTATGCAAATTAGCTGGGTCGTTAATCATGTAAAAATGTCACAATTAGCATCTCCTTAAGTGGGGCTCTAATGAAGCCTCCCTTGGCAGCCAGCATAAGCTGAGATGGAGCCACCCCACCCCCAGCAGGCATCAGACCCTGAAGCACAGGGCTGGGCTGGGCTGGGCAGGGATCTGCCCTCAAGGCCTTTCCCGGGGTGGCAGGGGTACCCCTGACTCCCACTAACAGGAAAGGGCAGGTTTGCAGGCGTGAACCCTCTCCCCAGACCCACCTGGAAGCGACGCATGTCTCGGGGATTCCCGGCGTTCTTTAGGCAGTTCTGGTTGCATTTGAGGAAGAACTTGAGGAAGAACCTGAAACAGTATGGCGGTGGGCTCAAGGGTCTGGAGGTTCTGGAAACAGATGAAGATCCAACTGCTCCCTGCTATGCCCCCTCCCAGTAGAGTGACTGCATTCTGTCTGCTCACATGCAGACACACACCCAATATTCCTATCACAAGCGACACACACACAGGATGCCTGATATCCACGCAGTAGACCCATCCCAACAACTATTTCATACACAGACTACCCCCCACAGCGTACGAATCACACCGTGCCTATTTGTCCCACAAAGTGGATTCTTAAAGAATATGTCCATTATGTATACCATATATACCTATTACTCATAATTATACCCACCACACAATGTATACATATGCAGCAGGTACTCACACTTACCTGTAAACCTATCCCACTCCCTGTATATGTCATAGTATATGCCAGTGATGGTGAACCTATGACATGCGTGCCAGAGGTGACACACGAACTCATTATTTTGGTTGATTTTTCTTTGTTAAATGGCATTTAAATATATAAAATAAATATCAAAAATATAAGCCTTTGTTTTACTATGGTTGGAAATATCAAAAAATTTCTATATGTGACATGGCACCAGAGTTAAGTTAGGGTTTTTCAAAATGCTGACACGCCGAGCTCAGAAGGTTCGCCATCACTGGTATATGCCCATCTCACATATACTGGTAGTGCATCCATATCACATAGCATGTGCCTCCCCAAAGTGTACCCATCACCCACACAGTGTACACTTGTCATAAAAGTATATCCATTCTATACACTGTAGATGCCTTATATACTATTACTCACAAAACATAGCCATCACAGAGTGTATACTCACCACACTCAGGGTATATCCTTCATATAAGCCTATTCAATATGTACTCCACACACAGTCTGTACTTATCACATACATATGGTACACTCATCACATGCAGTCTCTCCATTACTCACAGTGTATGACCATCGTACATAGTATATGCACAGAAAGAATATGACAATATACTAGTATGCATTAATATACCATTTTGTTATATACAATCACCCTAAATACAGCCATTGCAAGTACTGTATAGGCATCACATATAGTAAGCAGATCTCCCCAACAAATCCCCCTCACGCATAGCAGATCTCGCTCACACATAGACCCCTGTAGAACACTCAGGTGCAGACATGTCATGTGACCCCAAATAGTGCACACCCATCATGTATACACTCCATCCACCTCTACAAGATACCCTGCAGACAGACAGCTTTTATGTCCCCATAAGGTCGTCACCACAGTGTAGATGCCATATATAATCCAATAGGTCCTCCCCAAGCTGCAGGAAACTCAAATGCTCCCAAACAGTACACCTGCACAGTGTAGACACTCCATTTATATCACATTATATGCCATCGTAAGGACTCCTTACACCCCTATAAGATACTCCATGGTACAGACACTTCTTTGCTCACAGTAGTCACCATGCATGCCCCACATTGATGACAGTGTTGACACCCTAATCACACACAGTGTAGACCAGTTTATTTAAATTCCATGTTAATGTACTCAGTCCTTTACAAGGTGCTAAACTGAGGAGGACAAAATAGCGGGATAGGACATAGTCCTAAAGGGGATTAATGCTAACCCTGGGATGTCACCGATGATTCAACTTCAAAGATGACACCACTTCCCTTACATGCTCACATGTGCCCATTGCATGAAATCCACTCCCAACCTACAGAATCCAGAGGAAGGGTCCCTGGATGGGGCTGGAGAGCTAGGCTCTGGCCCAGGCAGGCTCATTGTGTGGTCTGGAGTAAATCCTGCATCACTGGCATCCACTTTCAGCCATAAACCAGGAGAGCAGTAATTGATGGCTGCTGAGGCGCCTTCCAGTTCTGCCTCTGGACATCCTTTCAGTGGTTCTCAACCTTCCTAATGCCACGACCCTTTAATACAGTTCCTCATGTTGTGGGGACCCCCAACCATAAAATTATTTTCGTTGCTACTTCATAACTGTAATTTTGCTACTGTTATGAATCGTCATGTAAATATCTGATATGCAGGATGTATTTTCAGGGGTCACGACCCACAGGTTGAGAACCGCTGCTTTAGTTCCTACCTCCCAATGCCTCAGGCTGCTGTTTCCTGCAGGGTCCTGGCTCCCCCTGGGGGAACTCCCGTCCTGGCCTCTTCTACAGCCCTTGCTCGCAGGTCTTCCCACCCTTTCCCTTTCCAGTACAGGTTGCTTTTGTCCTTTGGGTCCACACCAATTCCCACTTCCTGTCTGGCCTTTGGGGACCACGCCTCCCTGAGAGCCCCAGGGCCCTTCTGGCACCTCCAGCTGTGCAGGCCTGCCCCAGGACATCTCAGTTTGTGAGTCTGGTTGGCTTTACTTGCAGAGAGGTGTTGAGTAAAAAGCAGCCACGCAAGGCCTGAGCCCTGCGTGGGGGTGATGAGAGTCAGTTCCCTTTTCCCTTTCCTCTGAGCCTGCGGCTCAGAACTGCACACAGTCGATGCCATCAATGGTGTTGCTGCTGAAATCTCACCCACTGCCAGCTGGTCGTCCATGGGCTGCTCCCACCCCGTCGGAGGCCCAGCCGATGCACACACTCCCCTGAGAGCCTGTTGCAGCAGCAGCAGCGCATGCCGCGGCCCTGTCAGCCTCGGAGCTGTTAAGAAAAGCTATCCACAACTTGCAAATAAGGCAAAGAGATGCCTGTGAGCCCTTCCAAACACATTCTGGAACAGTGGTTTTCAAGTGTGGCACCCACACCACCAGTAGCCGCATCACCTGGGAACTTGCTAGAAATGCAGACTCTTGGGACTCACCTCAGACACGTTGAATCAGAACCTCTTGGGGGTGGGGCCTAGCCATCTGTGTGTTCATAAGCCCTCAGGTGATTCTTTTTTCTTTTTAATATATTTTTATTGATTTCAGAGAGGAAGGGAGGAGATAGAAACATCAATGATGAGAGAGAATCATTGATCAGCTGCCTCCTGCATGCCCCCCACTGGGGACTGAGCCCACAACCGGGCATGGGCCCTGATCAGGAATTGAACCGTGACTTCCTGGTTCATAGGTTGATGCTCAACCACTGAGCAACACCAGCCAGGCAGCCCTCAGGTGATTCTGATGCTCCCTAAAGTTTGAGAAGCACTGCTCCAGAGCTGCACTACCCCACACAGCAGCCACAAGCCCTGTGTGGCATTGAGAACTTCAAATGCAGTTTGTCTGAGCTGAGATGTGCTATAAGTATAAAATACCTGCCATATTTCAGTCACTTAGAAAAAATGTAAAATACCTCATTAGTGTGTGTGTGTGTGTGTGTGTATATATACATACATATATATATTTAAATACTCATTGGAGGATATTTTTTCCATTGATTTTTTTTTTGTTAGAGAGAATAGAGGGAAGGGAAGTGGGGGGTGGGGTGGGAGAGAGAGAGAGAGAGACATCAATTGGTTACCTCACACACACACCCCAACTTGGGTTGGGGATCGAACCTGCAACCAGAGTACGTGCCCTTGACCAGGAATCAAACCCGAGACCCTTCAGTCCATGAGCTAACACTCTAGCCACTGAGCCAAACCAGCCAGGGCTCATTAGTAACTTATTTGGTATTGATTACATGTTGCAATGATAATAATTTTGGATATAGTAGGTTAAATTAAATATATTTTCATAATTAATATTACCACTTCTTTTAAAAAATGTGGCTGCTAGAAAATGTAAAATTACATATGTGGCTTGCATTATATTTATATTGACTATGTTGCTATAGAGTATTATGTTAACAAAGCCATTTAAGAGTTAGCTGATTATCCAGGGAAAGTAACTTTGACTCATATTTGCTATTGATGGGGCCCAGATGACATAAAGTTAGGTGCTAATCTACAGAAAACTACTAAGATGCAAATGATTTTTGTTGGGAGAAGTAAATATTTCTGTTTGGTAGAGAAGTTAACCCTAACGGTTACAATTTTATTGATTGCCCTATGGACTTTAACTAGCTTCATATCTAACTTGGCAATCTCATTCCAGTATTTTTCACATATTCCATTTCTTCTCCAGTTCTCCCTCCTCCCCTCCCCCCTTTCCTAACTATATACTCTCCTGGAAGGAAGAGAGCCTGGCAGGGTCTAGGTAAGTGAGGATGAGCCATCCTGCTCCGGAGCCAGGGACATCCTACAGGGACCCAAGACAGGAAGGGATGTGAATTGTGTTGAGGGGCTGTGAAGCTCTGATGACCCCTCAAGCCTGTATGATTCCAGGGGTGGGGAAGAAAGAGGAGATGGGAGAAGAGGGGAGGGGGTTTCTGAAAAGCCCCACTACTCCCATGGGGCTGGAAGTCTGGGGAAGCTACCTTTACCTGGCTGGGCAGAGTCAAGCCCACAGCCCTGGTGAGCTGAGTATCCCTAGGGAGGGTGAGCATTTTACTATGCCCCTAGGTCAGACAGTGCCTTCCCTATTGTGGCCATGAGGCTCTTTGGGGGTGTGATCCCACAGAAAGGGTGGTAAGAGAAAGGTCAAGTCCCAGGAGCTGCCACTGGAACTACTAGAAGAAAACACCATAATTACAAGCATGAGTTACAAATAAATTATAAAACTGCAAAAATAAATTTAAAAAATCATCCACCCAGGCCGGGGTGCCTCAGTGGTTGAGTGTCCACCTATGAACCAGGAAGTCACGGTTGATTCCTGGTCAGGGCACATGCCCAGGTTGCGGGCTCGGTCCCCAGTGGGGGGCGTGCAGGAGGCAGCCGACCAATGACGTTACTATCTCTCGCACCCTCTCCCTTCCTCTCTGAAATAATAAAAAGAAAAAAGGTCCCCCAGGTCTAATTTACAAGTACAGTACTCAGCAATAGCCTGGGAACTGCTGAGTTCTCACTCGCATTATCTTGTGTGACCCTCTCATAGTCCTGAGGTCTGCAATCATTCCTACTTGACAGATGAGAAAACAGAGGATAAGCTACAAAGTCACAGTGAGTGCCAAAGTTGGGGTATCAATTTGGGACTCCATG